GGGTGGAGGATTTACTCCTGTGTCTGCTGTTCCAACTTGCAGGGGATTCTACGGGGAAAGTCCTTGTAAGGACTTGAGCTAATTCCCCATTCAGCTCTAGGAAGGAGCGGTTCCAGGGCCCCAGTCAAGCCACGGCGACTGTGGGCAGAAGTGCTGCGGTTTGTCCCCTGTTCCAACTAGGAAGCGGTCCTTGGCGGAGGTACCCAGCCAGGGGTACAGGGAGTTCCGTTACACACATTAAGGCAGAAAAATTTCTAATAGCGTATCTGTCCCCTGGTAATTTTATAAAAAACTGTGGACATATGGATATGACACAGCAAGTATAAAGTTTACATCATATGAAACCATTAACCTAAACATGACGATTCTCTAGGAAACCAGCTTCAACACATAGGCCAACATTGTTAAGCTTCTACAAAAATACAGAAATGCTGAATGACTGAGTGAGTAAAGCTACTTGATGCAAAACAGGGGCAAGAACAAGAATATTAGACAAAATAACAAAAGGGAAAACAAAAAGATGAAGTTCTAGATTTTCTTAAAAAAACAGGAAAAAGCCTGATTACCTCGGAGCCATATATAAATGTTAAAGTGGTTTCTGTTGCTCTCAGTGGATAAGTGAGGTGCTAACAAATATGTAAATGTTGCATGGTTAACCAGGAAAAGCAGACTATTTATAATATCTAGCCAAGAAGTAAAACCTCGCTGTTCTATGAGTATATTTATTTGATCATTTAACTTTTGTTTACTGCATATAATACATTGATTTGCAATGCACAGTCATGACATCTGGGCATACCAAAGATCATCATTAAAGGGACTCTCCAGGCAGCCGTTTTTACTCACCTGGTTCCATCGCCAGGAGCCTCGTGAAGCCGCGCCCCCCTATTTCGTCAAAATGACAAAATAGGCGGGCACGAGCAGGGAGCAATCAGACACTTCCATTCATGCCGCCATATGAAGTCCTGAGCGCAGTACCGTGCATGCGTGTGGCCGCAAACTGAGCTGACTGACAGCTCAGCTTGCGGTCTTTGCCCGCCCCCTCTCCTCTGCTGACAAGCAGGAGAGAGAAGGCGCGCACACAGTGTCTTCTCTCTCCTGCACACGTCAGATGTATTTTAATACGTCTGACGTGTACATGGCCTCTTTAGGGCCATACATTATAGGAAGTCCCTCTGGTGGACGTCTGAGTGACGACCACTGGAGGTATTCCTATCAATCAATGTAAACACTGTATTTTCTCTGAAAATACAGTGTTTACATTAGATTGCCTGCAGGGAGTTATAGGTCTCACTTGAACAACTACATTAAGCTGACTATAGTGTCCCTTTAATCTTTCTAAAGCATCCAGAGTCAGGGCACTATATAACAAATGCAAAATAAAGTAATTAAAATAATGTACGATGCTTTTGAATGTCTGACGTGTCTAAATGACTTTTATTTGGATTCCTATGTCTAATGTACTCATTAGTCTTTTGTTTTTAAATTGCCCTTGGGTATTCTGCATTCAGTATATTTTATTAACTTGCTTCTGTAATACAAAATCATGTTATTAGCTCTTCTGTTTTTCTTAATTCACTTCATAGTGAAAAACAGTATTATTAGATGAGTGAAAAGCGCTTTTCAGATATGCATAATCTAGCAAGGTTTCTGAAGCCATCCACAGGCAGTGGGCTGTCAGATGAAAGACACTCTAATACCCACGCCAGGATTCACATACAGTGCATCTGGATCCTGACACACTTCCTGGAAAAATTTTGCTGCACCAGTATATCCACAGGTGGGGATCATACCGCCCAAGCGCTACTATTTGGAGCTGATCAGAAGCTCCAAAAAACTGCAAGTGCATTTCTAGATTTTCTTCACCAAGTATAAGTACCTACTACACTATATTGTGTCTTCTGCTTTTTAAACATGCACTGAGCACCATCTGAATCAGAAGACACTCACAAGACACTGCGACACCCTTTCTTCACCTTGCATCTTACCTACTACCAGAAAGAAGTGACTCTGGCTTGGGTTTTCCTAGCTGCCTACTAACATTATCAGAAGTGCTAGAAATCCTTTTTTTTATTGATTACTCTAATAGACCGACCTGTGTTCTGGGGCTATCACTGCGTAACAGCACCATAAAATGCAGTGAGAGCTCTTTAAGGTATATAGTTTGCCAAATACGTGTACCCATTGGTTTATGGTGATAAACTGGAGTTGATATTTCATTGAGTCAGGGGTTGAGTACATGCTCTTAAATAGGGTGTCCTACAAGTCAGAAGGCAGAGTCAAATTATGGCTGTAAAGTCTCTTTTTTAGTAAACACTTATTTTGTATGTGTAGTCTCTCGGAGATATATATTTTTTTTTGGCTGGGGGGAGGGGTGGATTTCTCCACCTTTAAATGGAATTTTAATCAACACACTATTAGCTTAAAGTGTATATATGCAAACGCTTATAATAAAAAGATTATGACTCAGACTCTCTCCGGGTGTCTAGTCAGCGCTACAGTGTGGGCTAATGTCTTATATTTTTTATTAGCCACACTCCCACATGTAGGAAATGTGTATATCACTTGCATAAATTAGGTAGGAAAACCCCTTTTTGTTTGATTCTAATAGCTGTTTTTTGTTTTTTTTTTGGTCAGAAGCTCACCTGTAGGCAGACGTCCTGTGCAGGGGATTTCCCAATTAAGACTCCTGGCAAGGCTGACCGGGCTTCCTAGCCTAGAGAGCAGACCATGACGATGTGCATCAATCTGTGATGTTTTACTTTATTCTTGTAATTAGAAAGGTTATATTATATTATTCTTAATAACATGAAATAATATATATTATACTGTTTCATCATGCACATTAAGGAGGCACATTAAGGAGGCCACCAGGTGGGTATTTGTAAGCAGGGGCCCGGTCACACGCTGTAGCTCTTTAACAGCGCGACCGGGCCCTTTGTTTTTTGGCAGCGCTGGGAGGAAGTGACGGCTGCGAGTCACTTCCTCCCACTGAGGAGGAGCTGCGCGGGAGATGAAGGAGGGAGCCTGTGCTGGGAGAGGCAGATCCCAACAGCCTCAGCCTTCAGTCTGGACACTGGGGAACCACCTTCCAAGGTAGGAAACTTGTGGGTGGGTTTAAAAGTGTAAACTTATGTCAGTATGTCTGTGTATGTGTGTGTTAGTATGTCTGTCAGTGTATGTGTTTGTGTCAGTATGTCTGTCTGTGTTTGTGTCAGTATGTCTGTCTGTGTATGTTTATGTCAGTATGTCTGTCAGTGTATGTCTGTGCTTGTGTCAGTATGTCTGTCTGTGTATATCAGTGTGTCTGTGTATGTCAGTATGTCTGTCATTGTATGTGTCTGTATGTCTGTGTATGTGTGTCAGTATGTCCGTAGTGTATGTCTGTGTGTGTGTCAGTATGTCTGTCAATGTGTGTCGTTCAGTGTATGTGTCTGCGCGTGTCAGTATGTCTGTCAATGTGTGTCATTCAGTGTATGTGTCTGCGCGTGTCATTATGTCTGTCAATGTGTGTCATTCAGAGTATGTGTCTGCGCGTGTGTCAGTATGTCTGTCAATGTGTGTCATTCAGTGTATGTGTCTGCGCGTGTGTCAGTATGTCTGTCAATGTGTGTCGTTCAGTGTATGTGTCTGCGTGTGTATCAGTATGTCTGTCAGTGTATGTGTGTTAGTATGTCTAGGAGGGGGCAGGGTCCAGGGGCCCCAAGCAAATGGTTGCCCAGGGTCCGGTCAGTATTAAAGACGGCCCTGCACACTGCATTCACTACACTGACACATACTCTGCATTCACTACATTAACACATACTCTGCATTCACTACACTGACACACTCTGCATTCACTCCACTGACACACACTCTGCATCCACTTCACTGACACACACTCTGCATCCACTCCACTGACACACACTCTGCATCCACTTCACTGACACACACTCTGCATTCACTACACTGACACACACTCTGCATTAACTACACTACACAAACATCCTGTATTCACAGTACACACACACTACATTCATCACACATTCAATACTATTAATAATCTTTGAGACAAGCATATGCTACAGGCAGGATCAATCAGGTAGCCCCGTGGTGGGTTTCTGTACCCGAAAAGGCCCGGAGGGAGCGAGGGGTAGGGCGGAGGTGGAGGCAGCAGTGGCAGAGCGGTGCCCGAATCTCTCCCCTCCAGGGCCTGGGCCTCTCCCCGCCACCCGGAGGGGACTGAGGAGGAGACCGCCGACCTTCGAGGCGGACGGTCGTGGGGATACGTAGACGACTTTGGAGCCAGGCAGAACGATGCTCGGCACGGCCCAGGCGAGGCCGGTGGTGCCGGGGTGGCCGCTCTGGTCCTGCCAGGGAAGGGGACCTCGGCGAGCCACAGGGTGCCGGCCTCCTCCGCGGTGCATGCAGTCTCGGGCCTCTGCTTCTAGATGGGGCCTGGGAGCAAACTTGGGTGGAGGTTGCCAGGCTCGTTCCGCCCGGCTCTGAAGTCGTCTACGAAGCCGGCAGAAACTCCATATGAGACTGCTGGTGGGGGTTGGGCAGCTATGCTGTCTGACCCCACAGGTGGCTCTGTTGTGGCTGGGGTGATGGGAGTAGGGAGACTGTTAAAGAACACACTGACCTGACTGATGGTTTACAGCAAATAGAAAATGTCCACAGCCAGAACGTGTCCCCTCAGGTGATGGTCCCCCTTAATGTATCTGCTTCTGTTCTTGATCCTTCTGTTGTCCCCGGCTCCCTGGTCCCTTGACTGTTCCCGACCCCACAGGTCCCACTTTTGTATCTGCCCTCCCCGGTCCCTCAGTTGTCTCCGCTTCCCATGATTCCACTATTACGTATGCTCCCCTGGTTCTGTTATGAATATTGGAAACGAAGTTAGTGTATCACTTGTATGTCCCCAAGTCCCTAGGCACCCCCAAGCCGTTGCTCAGGGTGCCGTGACCAGGGTCTCCAGTGATGGCCCTACCATTGGAGTAATCCGCTCCCCAGTTTCACAGATGGCAGGTCACAGCGTACCCAATGCCTGGGCATCGGGGTCACCTCGCCTTGCCGGGGTTGGGTCCGTGGCATGCCCTCTGGCTCACCTTCCAGGGTGCAAGAGGAATGTGGTTTGGCTGACCTGGGATGGCGAGACCCGGGTGCCGGACAGGCGGTTGCTGGTGTCCTGTTTGAAGGACATGGGTTTCTCCCCCTCTGATCTATTTGCCCTCATCCATGCTTCGGGAATCCAGGAGTTCGATGTCTCCTTTATGACGTTGCTGCTCCCGGATCATTTCTGGGCTGGATGGGAGGCGGCTAGCTCTCAGCAAGGGTCGAGAAGGGCAGGATTTACCGCTATACCCATAGCGGGTATCCTGGTATGGGCCAGGAGATATGGGGACGTAAAAGGTCCCCCAGTTAAAATCTTAGATGAGGATGAGATTTGGACAGGTGGGTGGACTGACCCAGTGTTGTTGAGGGAAATACGAGGTGTCACGCAGCTCATGCCTAACAGTTTTTTCATCGGGGTTGACCGGGTATCGTGTTTCTATCCTGGTCAGCCTCAGACATGTCACCGGTACAGATCGTACAGACATTTTAGCAATGCCGGTGCGGTCCAGAAATGCACCATGTGTGGTGCTGTGGGGCATCTCCAGGACACCTGCTCAGAGATCCGGATCATCTATGCGGAGGGATAGGACACTCATACCGCACCTGCCCCGAAGCTTGGCATAACATTGAGTCCATCTAGAGTAGGGAGCATCCCGGGGGAGAACATCCCGGGGGAGAGGGATGGATGACTTCCTGGATGGGATCGCACTCTCTGGGAGTAATGACCTTTCTCTGGATGAGTTGGTTAGCGAGATCACGGTAGAGTAGGTCACAGAGAGCATTATGCAACAAAATAAGAACAAGTTCTATCAGCATTTCTGCGATCTGTTGGCCCCTCATTTAACCGAGGTGTTTAATGAGAGCCTAGCTCAAGGATTACTACCACCCTCGATGAGGACTTCTGCCCTGATCTTGTTGCCGAATGTTGTCGACACTGCGGATGTGGGTAACTGGCGACCCATATCCCTCCTTAATGTCGACAGGAAGGTCCTGGCAAAGATTTTGATGAAACGTTTACAGGGCCTGGTGGAAGACATTCTGAGGGCGGTTCGTGGGATCTATAACACTGAAAGGGCC